TGTCTACACCAGTACAGTATTGTCTACACCAGTACAGTATTGTCTACATCAGTACAGTATTGTCTACACCAGTACAGTATTGTCTACACCAATACAGTATTGTCTACATCAGTACAGTATTGTCTACACCAGTACAGTATTGTCTACACCAGTACAGTATTGTCTACATCAGTACAGTATTGTCTACATCAGTACAGTATTGTCTACACCAGTACAGTATTGTCCAGTACAGTATTGTTTACACCAGTACAGTATTGTCTACACCAGTACAGTATTGTCTGCATCAGTACAGTATTGTCTACATCAGTACAGTATTGTCTACACCAATACAGTATTGTCTACACCAATACAGTATTGTCTACACCAGTACAGTATTGTCTACATCAGTACAGTATTGTCTACACCAGTACAGTATTGTCTACACCAGTATAGTATTGTCTGCATCAGTACAGTATTGTCTACACCAGTACAGTATTGTCTGCACCAGTACAGTATTGTCTGCATCAGTACAGTATTGTCTACATCAGTACAGTATTGTCTACATCAGTACAGTATTGTCTACACCAGTACAGTATTGTCTACACCAGTACAGTATTGTCTACACCAGTACAGTATTGTCTACATCAGTACAGTATTGTCTACACCAGTACAGTATTGTTTGCATCAGTACAGTATTGTCTACACAAATACAGTATTGTCTACACCAATACAGTATTGTATACACCAGTACAGTATTGTCTACATCAGTACAGTATTGTCTACACCAGTACAGTATTGTCTACACCAGTATAGTATTGTCTACATCATGACAGTATTGTCTACACCAGTATAGTATTGTCTACATCAGTACAGTATTGTCTACATCAGTACAGTATTGTCTACATCAGTACAGTATTGTCTACATCAGTACAGTATTGTCTACACCAGTACAGTATTGTCTACACCAGTACAGTATTGTCTGCATCAGTACAGTATTGTCTACACCAATACAGTATTGTCTACACCAATACAGTATTGTCTACATCAGTACAGTATTGTCTACATCAGTACAGTATTGTCTACACGAGTTCAGTATTATCTACACCAGTACAGTATTGTCTACACCAGTACAGTATTGTCTGCATCAGTATAGTATTGTCTACACCAATACAGTATTGTTTACATCAGTACAGTATTGTCTACATCAGTACAGTATTGTCTACACCAGTACAGTATTGTCTACATCAGTATAGTATTTTCTACATCACTACAGTATTGTCTACATCAGTATAGTATTGTCTACATCATGACAGTATTGTCTACACCAGTATAGTATTGTCTACATCAGTACAGTATTGTCTACATCAGTACAGTATTGTCTACATCAGTACAGTATTGTCTACATCAGTACAGTATTGTCTACATCAGTACAGTATTGTCTACATCAGTACAGTATTGTCTACATCAGTATAGTATTGTCTACATCAGTATAGTATTGTCTACATCATGACAGTATTGTCTACACCAGTATAGTATTGTCTACATCAGTATAGTATTGTCTACATCATGACAGTATTGTCTACACCAGTATAGTATTGTCTACATCAGTACAGTATTGTCTACATCAGTACAGTATTGTCTACATCAGTACAGTATTGCGGAGCAGTAGGTTTTTGTAAGTTTTTTTTCTTGTGAGTCCAGAGCCCAATTTCCTTATAGTATGTTCTCTAAATACATGTTGTAAGTTTCCACAGTAAAAAGTTTCAGGTCATACAAATATAATAACATTTTAATTGATGAAAGATAATATTAACTTTACTGCTAAATTAAACTTTATTTTCTTTTCTGAATATTTTTTTTGTGTTAGGTTAATTTTCAAACAAATTTGTTTAAAGAAACCCAATGTTTCAATGGTAGAAAGCTGAGAATGAATACAGGCACCTAGAACAATTACTACCCAGTCTGTTAGAAGTCTTATAAAGCGTTATCTTTTTACTATCTCAATCACATGTAACAAAGTCATTGATTACCCCTGAATCACCCTCCCACTGGTTTAAGACTTGGTATACATAATTCTCTGGTTGCAAGGATTCCATTATGTGTTGTTGGTAAAAATATATGCATAGGTGAACCTGTTTCATGATTCAATTAATTATTCAAATTTCATATCATGAATTTAAAAAAAGAAAAATTTCCATCTTACTTATTACAAAGTATGGAAAATGTCATTTTCAAAATCATCAAATTACGAATACTTCAAGAACTAATTTGTGGTTGAACATTTACATGGATTGTAGTAATTTTTTTTTTTCAAACATGATTCATACCGTTGTATGTATGTATGCCACACATTTGGGATAGGCACAGGAATTTCCTACCCTGTATGATAAATCCTGGGCAGAGAAAAATATATCATAAATATATGTACAGATTATTGGCCAAGTAGTAAGGATATTTAACACAATATACATTATTTATCCTGCAACTGGCACTGTCATTGTTGGAATGAACTGCCACATATATTTTTCCGGTATTCCGGAGTGACAGGAAACAGCTGTATTTTAGCATATCCATTAATTTCACAGGTTTACTTTCTGAATATACTAGAATTTGATAAAATATGAAGAACTATTGAAAAAAAAGAAAAAAAAAACCAATTACATAAGTTGTAATGAACAAGGTTATTGACGAAAATTTAGGAAATTGCTGTTAAATCTGTTATAGGTTTGGAACTATATTTCCAAAGAGCAACTATTTCGCCTAATGTCAACGTCAGTTAAACAAATATTGAACTACAAAACTGATGAAGTTTTGATGGTTTGATTTGCAATGAATGTTTCAGGATAAATAGAATACATGGCTGGCCATTTTTGTCGTTCTTCACCCTCGCCAAAGGACACCCACCATGTGTTCTCTATTTAACATCATCACATGTCAGAAAAAGTAAAAAAAACTAATTCATGACATTCATTAAGAAAAATTTATTAACAGAAGGGAGGTAACTCTGAATATTGATATCCATGTTTCACTGTTTAAATCTAAGATGCAGACTTGTACCAAATGTAGAAGTAAATTCTGTATACCACAACATCAAATGATGAATCAAAATTGTAATGCAGGTTCTTCACATCATCTTAAGGACAATTTGCCACAACATTCAGTTTATCCCACTCTATATATTCATCACTGAAAACTTTAGACATCTCTCTTTAGGGATGCTCATTACTGACAGCTATGCAGCGTTAGATATTTCTTGGTAATTTGGTCCTTTAGCTCATTATCCTGAGGCTTGCACTGGTCCTGAATACCATCATTTGTATAATCCAGAATACCGCTTAGCATGAAATATTGTTTGTTTAGAATTGACATGCCTACCTAAAAATATACCTTGACTAAAATGATTTTACAATAAATCCAATTATTTTCATTAGTGTGAAAAACATTGCCATAGTCTTAGGTCTTCATAGAAAATCTTGCATATTTGTCCTCTAAGTCCTTAGGTAGCGTTTTCTATTCATAACTTTTTACCCTCACCACCACTAAAATGAATGAATGACATTGGTTTGATCAGCCAAAAATAAATAAAGAACACAATTTTCATAGTGTCACCCTCCCCTCCAGTCTCCTCCAAAAAAATAAAATATTTTCGCCTACTGATTACATAACTTCTGCCTGGTGGTTACCTACATACTACAATCAGCTGCCATTTCAACATTGGCATGAATCTTATTATAAATGTAACCTGTGTGTATGTTTCAATGCCTCCACATTGACTAGAACCCAGGACCTTTGGCTTTCTAGTCTGACACCCAACTGATCTCACTAAAGAGAAGTTCTCTCTAGCAGAGTGGTATATTGCGGCTAGTATTTACCAGTGTTATATACTCCCCCTTCAGGAAGTAACTCGTACAGCAATGCTGGTGGGGCATGGCTAAGTATTATCCTGGGTCCAAATATGGGTATCAATGTAACAGAGGTCATTATCTATTTCCATGACTCCCCTAAGATTCGAACCCGGGAACTCTGGCTTCCGAGTCTGATACTCAACCATTCAAGCTAAAGAGGAGTTCTCTCTAGCCAAGCAGTATATTGTAGCTGGCTTGGGTTACATGTATGTGCGATTCAGGGATGTATTAAATCTCCTCTATAACAGGAAACAAATCTTAAATTAATACTTAGACACTTAGACATAGCAGATAAAGATTGGAAACAAGATTTAGAAAACATATATCTGTTAACTTATTTGATCACATGCATATTATCGATCAAAAATTCCAAATTTATCTCCTCTGTATCACATTGTGTATACTATAGTTAATTTGTAATTCAAACTTCCTATATTGCTATGAAAATGTGGAATATTCTCAAAGTGCCTTTTCCTCCAGAACACCTGATCTAATCATTATCCTTGTAATTTTTCAGGGGTATCCATGGAAACAATTTCTTTTGAGTCTCATCAATGGTGAGTTTAAATAAAATTTCTGTTAATATGACAATATTTTCTTTGTTGTTGCTGTATAAGAGTATCAGTATGCACAACACACTGTGTAACAGGAGCAGAAAAATGTGCTGCCAAACAGGGGTTCGAAATCCTTGTAACTTGTATCATTGTTAACAGTTAAGCCAGTTATTCATACGAGAAACTGACAACAGCTGAATTTGTCCAGTTTAGTTAAGAACTATATGTTCTGACAGGATTATCTCCCTTACTACATCTGAGTCATTGGACTTCTGGCTGTTTTGGTAGTTTTCAAATCTTCGTTAATGAGAAAGTATCAGGAAAACATGAGACGCGAGCATTGTCAAGGGTTTCTATCAATGAAACACCGGTTGTAAGACATAACATTAAAGTTTAGTGGTAAAGAAAACCTGTTGAACTCTGTCAGTAGCCCTTGGCTAAACCAATCTGTATACAAACAAGTGTTTACAATACGATATCAGGGTGACGCATTTCATGTTTTCTCCATTTCTGTCAACCGGAGTCACTTCATGAGCGAGATACAGTCTAAATATATACAAACCTGGAGTATCCAGTAGAAACCCTGTCAGTAGGTGAGGAGCAAGTTCCTCCAAAATCCCACAAAATTCGTGAAACGCTGGAACACCTTTTCGTGACAAAACGTCAAGAAAAGTTTCAGAGCGTTTCTTTGAGTCAGTTTTCTCTAGTATGTCCTTTTCCTCACTCTTGGTGATGATCCCTTTCCGTACAAGTCGAGGTACGACCCTATTAACATCCAGATCTCTCAGTATGGAATTTTTGTGTCGGGCAAACAGGCGAGGAACGCCACCTTTGCCCGCCATCTTGAAAGCTTTTCAAGTTACAGTCGATTGATTTTACGAATTTATTTTTGTGAAAGAAACGGAACGCCACCCGTTCCACATCGTGCCATGATATAGATAGATCGACATCGAAGAGCTTATCTCTGATGACTTCATGATATCCATCGTACATCAAAAAATAAACAGAAAAAAATATATAAATGACTCAATCATGCAAAATCTGTCGGAGTGACATATCATAGAGGGCGATGTGTTAACAATTTAAAGTGTGTCGTGGTTTTCTGTCTTTAAACCTCGTGTTTTATGTATATGTTGATCGATGATAGAATATGAATACTATCTACTAATTTGTTTTACTTTAGGTCTTCTACTACCCGGGATCAATGAGCTTACAAACAAAAACATATGAAGGAAACAGTCACATACGAGACTTTTTACTCAAAACATGTGTGCTGGCCACAGGAGAAATGTTTGAATAACAATAGCCGCCTAATGACCCTTGACGGCCACACTATTTTGGGTAACGGGAAATACCTGAAGGTGACGTCAGGTCAAAATCTCCTATAATGTTTAGTGAAATTACTATGGTTATCAGGATCACATATAAACCAGGTTTGACACGATGTGTTTTTTTTAATGATTTCTGTCGCCACCAAAAATGATATCACCTATAACCTGCAAAGCGACGGGTCTGTCAAATTTATATCTGACAGAGCCGAAGTTTTTGAGGTAATCGATGGTATGTTTTACGAGCGATATGGAAGACAATCATACCATCAGTATCATTTTTTGTTATGTTGGCGGCAGAATTCATTAAAAAAAATCAACGTTTCAAAGCTGGTTCATGTGTGATCGTTAAAAATATTATAATTTCCCAAAATATTACCTCTTGTGCGGCCAGCAGGCAAGACGGCATGATTAAATACAAAATTACACACACACAGAGAGAGAGAGAGAGAGAGAGAGAGAGAGAGAGAGAGAGAGAGAGAGAGAGAGAGAGAGAGAGAGAGATTTTAAAGCTGTCATCATCATTTTTCTTGTATCACAATACGATGAGTGATATTTGCAAAGAGAGAAACATTTCGGGCATTAAGAAGGACAAAAGGTTTGGTCAGAGCTATGAATCATATTTATTTTTACATTGAGTAGGGGTATTTGCTGTGGAGAAACGTTAATGGGAGCCGGAAAGAAAAAAAACATAGTTCAGAGCTATCATCTTCTTTTATATCACATTATGAGAAAAAGAAGAAAAACTAAAGATTTTTTAGAACTACGAACAATTTCTTTTTAAATATTAAAATATGGAGAGTGATACTGGTTGAGAGGGAGACATTATGGGGAGTTAGAAAGATAAAACATATTGAATGGCTTCTAATACTTGCTTTTGATTTCACAATAGGGGTAGGAAATTTTCCTGTGAGAAAATTATTAGCTATTAAAAAATTAGATATAATGAAGAGCTACGAACGGCCTCTTTTATATTTGTTGAAGGAGAAATTTGATTGAGAGTTAGAGGAACCAAATTTCCGGAGAGCTGCGAAAGTTTTCTTCACAGATGCATAAAATGCATTTATAAAGTGGTATTTGTTAAGGCTGAAGATTTAGGAGGGTATCAGATCAAATATTATCACAGAAGCTAATTGGGTAGAAGGAATGGGATTTGCTGAGAGAAACCTAAGACGAATAAGAAGGGCAAATCGTTTTTAGAGCTACGAATACTTTCTTTTTACATCAAATTAAGGGGAAAGATATTGGTTGAGAGAGACACACATTATGGGGAGTTAGAAAGATACACCATAGTTCCTTTCTTCACAATACTAGGACTGATGTTTGCTGTGAGAGAATCATTAAGGAGAGTAACACTTGTAGAAAGACAAACTTTAGTTTAGAGTTAGCATCATTTTTATGCTAAGAGCTTCAGCATGTTGCTATCGCCCCTGAGGCTGAGTATCAAGTACTTCGTTTTCATTGGTTCATAAATCGAAAGTTTACTCCTACTCCATCTGCCGGACATTACCGTAATCATTGGATTATCGCCCCTACAAGTTGCTGATGCTAGTCATTAAATGAAACAACCTTATCGACATTTTCTTCATTACCTGTACATCAAGAAAATGTTTTGTGTTGTGTATTAATGATAATCAGACATCGAAATTTGTAAATACAATGACAAAGACTCACGTTTATGGTGGTAAATTTTGCGAGGCGATGCCAATATGGCGGCTTAACTTTCTTTTCCGCGCGATGCATTGTGGGAGTCATATACATTTGTATATCTTTCTATTTTTCTTTTTTCGAAAATTTACTTCCCGTTTAATACTGTTGATAACTATTAAAAATACTTATATATGTAGTTGAAAATAAAAATGAAACTAAAATAAGAATGATTTAGAGTAGCATAAAATTTTGACGGAAACAGCCGGGGTGCTCTGTGCTGCTGGACCCTGAAAGAAGACGGCGGCTGAAAGAAGATGGCGGGTAATTCATGTAGGTAAGTATTACTATATATATATATGTTAGCTGAATTTGAAGTCAATACTTATACTGAACTATCAATTGCATGAATTTAGGCTGCACTTTTTTTTTCAAAATATTTTCAAGACTTTTCCCTTGAAGCAGTATGCATTTGAAAAATGTGATGTAAGCATCTAGCACATTTTTGTTGCTTCCGTAAAGTATTTCAGTATTTTGGAATGGATTTATTTTGGAATGATCGTTTCATAATGGTCTCATCGCAGTCACTTCTGTCAGTGGCCCAACAGATCGGAAATTAACCAGAAAAAAAACTTATCCGTAATATTGTACTGTACTACTTACGCTACCGTGAATAGATCTAGGAATCTGTCTGGGTAATATATCGATTTTACTTTAAAATATCTGTCACTGTCCGCGCTATTGTAGGTCTAGCTCTTTCAAATTTCTGATCGGAGATCATTTATAAGTACCCCAACGGCCCAAGGCCAGAGTATGAAATCGTACGGGAACTCTACAGCTATGCTAATTTTAAGGTTTACATGTGAAGTTAATATATATAGTTTTAGCTTAATTTTAGTTTTTGTCT